CGGTGGGAATTTTTCTTCAGTTTGTTTTTAATAAAACAATCTTATTATATACAAACATTACAATTCAGAGTATATGCAGTCTGTCCCTCCGTGTTTCCTGTGTTGTTAATATTAAATTTTATTCGATTTTTTTTCAATCGGTTTGTCTTCGAGGGGGACAATGATTTGGAGAAAAATTAAGTTTTTATTTTTATTAAAGTAATTTCCCCTGCTGAACACAAAAAAAAAAATAACTTTCTTTATTCACATAGGTAATAAGCAAAGGCGGATGTGTAGGTATAGTGTTAACCGTTAGATACTAGATAAGATTAAACTTATACTAGTGCAGTATTCGTCTGATATAGGTATCCAGAAAGNCTGCTCACTATTCTATCATAGGACATTTACACATGTGAATAATGGGGCAAATTTATGGTAACAAAAGTTTTAATAAAGGTTATCGATTTTTCAATTTTCTTTTACTATCAGATATTTTGCTCCGAATAGAAGTGTAGCATTTGTTTTATGGAAAATTACATTTAGTTGATGCTTTAGGAGCATAGGCGTTTTTTTAGGCGTGAGCAACTGGAACATTTGTCCCAAAAATTTTAATTAGTCGTATTTTTAAGGCTGAACTTTTAATTTTTTATTAAACTATCATCAACAAATTGCATTACGCTGATCATAACGAATATGTCATAACTCAAAGGTTATTAATTATAACTAATGGTTAATAAAGTATTAAGTAATGACTAATAATTATTATTACAATAAATAATAAATATTATTATATTTAATAGATGTCGTAATACGAATAACAACTTGATAGTCATCAATGGTATACAAATATCATAAACCGTAATCGTGGGCCAATTTATTTCATATTTAAATATACCTATTAAATGTTCCCAGTTGTTCCAATTTGCATGATAATTAAATGTTATTTAATGTAAAGATAAATACCATTTATACCATCAATGTCGGAATATAATGCTAATAAAATTTTCCTACTCATTTTAAATACTTTCGTTTGTTCAGTATGCTTATGTTACCTTTTAGATATAAATAAAACACTAATTCAAATATTGATAACAATATGTTTGTTTAATGTTATGGTTTATTTGGAATGGTTGTAAATTATATTTAATTTTTTTTTTTTTTGAAATAGGAAAATTATATTAGTTTGCATATATCAACGTGCAAAATAGAAGAAAATTATACTTTTTTTAAACTACCCATAGAATAGCATAGCTTTTAATTTAAAATTCTAATAAAATAAGATGTTTTAATGACATATATTATGATGACGGCATAAACGAATATAGTTCAAATTAAATAGCCTAGTATAGATGTTATTATTGCTATGAATAAACCTTAGCTTTGTCCTATGTGTTCACAAGCTTATTCTTGTCCAAATAAGCCAACTTATTTAAGTTGGCTTGGTTTCACTAGGGATGTACTTTAAAGGGATCATTTTCGATTTTCTCATGAGGTTTCTCAGCAAATATGAAAAACCGGTACAATTATCGACAAATTTTATCAAATATATATATAAAGCATATTTAATTATTTTACTATATGGCTCATATATCGTTGAATAAGGATCGCTATCACTGAACTTCGCTCAGAATCGTTTTTCCGTAGGTAATGGTTTATTGTGAGTTAGAGATATACTTTAAATTCCCCTATGTATCCTATCTTCACGACTTCCTATCTACACCAGTGGCTGCACCCGTCCCTATTATCTTACCTTACTTTTCTTATTCTTGTTGTTCATAGGTTGACTAAGGTAATTTGCCTTAGACACAATACCCGACCCCTCTCCAAAAAACACATCTTTATACGCACTTGATCTAATATTTAGACTTAACTAAATAAAGTAGTATTCTATGGAATACCATAAACTGCAGAACCTATCGAGTATGATGATTGTCCGTCATCACTGTTGACATTCGGTCTGCCAGGATCGCGTTAAATGGTTGCAACACACTAATATTTTAAAAGGTCAAATTCAGATTTCTGATTTGAAATTACGAAAATTTCAAATTTAAATTTCAAAATTTAACCTTGTAATTTTTTTTAAATCCATTATATTTTTTAATTTTCTATATTTTAAAAATAGGTAATAAATGATTTGTAATTGAGTTTTCCAAATTTGAAAATTCGGAAAATCACACTTTGAAAAATCCCAATTCTCTCCACCACTAGTTATCATAAATATATTAAGAAATGTATTGCTGCTCCCCATCTGTGCTAAGAATATAAGAAACAAAAACTAGTGGTTAAAGAGGAAAGTAGCCGTTTAATAAAATAAAGTTGTAACATGCACGCTTATATATATATATATATGTATAATCAACTGCAACATGTATTTAGTGCGTGAACAGGAGAAATAATAAATATAACAACTGAATAAAGAAAAATTCAAGTCGCATAACTGGGTACAAAGATATTGAGTGTTTTCAACAAACGTTATCACAATGTATTCCAATACAAATTTAAAAATTTAAACTTTAAATAAATTATCTATGATACGGATATAATAGGTATACAGTGTAATAATAATCTTAAAATACGTATCATAATAATATAAAACTATTATTTTAAGGAGCCTCCATTATTTTTTGAGGATCCGAATGATTTCATTTTGAGTTTTTTCTGTAAATAAGAGTAAAAATATATTAAGAGGTTTGTATTTATGCAGTAATATGTATTCTATGGAAACGTTATTTTATACTTGATAATTCTGTTGGCTATGGCCAACAAAAATTACAAATATGTGTGAAATATTATATGAATTTATTTTTCCAAAAGCTACAATATCCTAGGAAGATTAAACCGTTGATATTCTCATTATGTAGTATCTGTATACATCTATGTAAAACGTATTTAACTTATTTAGTATAAAAAAAAATTAATATTAATTCTCGTCTATAAGAAATTATTAGGTATCACCTTATATTACACAAAACAGAGATAAAAATGTTAGTGTAATAGAATCGATACGGTGGGTTGGGAACAGGTCACAGGTATGATAGTAGACGGGGTTCTAACAGGTAGTACATAAGACCTAGTGAATGTCGGAACAACAAAACGATTGAAGCATTAAAAATTTTGTTAACGACAAAATTGTGCAAATTAATTTATATGCTCAATCGTATTATACTCATTCGTGCTTTACCGAATGTCGGGTAGGTTCGGCAGTCCATAATGAATTATAGGATGCGTAATACGGAGCTACAGGATATTAGTAATATTGGTATTGTTATTTAAAATTATTTTTTGGAAACATATATGGAAAACCATATGTGATACTGTGTATGTTATGTGTGTATTTTATGTATATCATATAAAATACTATCAAAACGTATAAAATATGTGTTAATACTATGTGTTGTCCGATGACATTCCGATTCTGCGTGATTGTGTGTTTAAATTAATTTGTCAATAAATGCTTCTTTTATCAGTTCTTCTATTAGTAAATG